CGTCGAACCTCATCAAAAATAGCACGATTACTTGAAAACCAATTAGTCCACCATTGAGAAAATTCCACAGTCGATAAGTAATTTGACTCAAATGCATATGGATAAAAATGCATCGAGGGTCTTGGCAAAAATTTAGCAAGCTCTCAGCCGATGTTCGATTCGAGTCAATTTGGATTTAGGGAAGGAACTTAAAGGGAAAAAGGGTAAAGACTGGCTCGAGGCCAAACTGTCTGGAAAAAGCTGGGGGTAGTAAGTAACTGAACTTGAAATCCCTGGGGTGGAAACCCGATACTAGCACATCATGGGTCAAGTAGCCACTCCATATATCGATCAGTTCTAATTGTAACCCGGGGGTTGAGGCAGGAAATCTTGACTTGAACCAGATCGGTCCCCTAAGTTGGTCACTTACTCGCTCAAAATTTACGAGTAAAAGGGGCTAAGGTTGAATCGAAAACAAATCAGGTTAACAAAAATTGGAGATATTTACAATATGTGGCTTCGTCGGATTTATAGCGAGGGTGACGGGAGGATAATCGAGCCCCTTCTATATTTACACTTAGGGGGACAGTAGAATATCGAGGAAGGACACTCTCAAAACGGATGTTAACCATAGCTGTATGAACCAAACAGGCCAGAAAATTCCCCGATGCCTTAGGAGTATTTAAAATTTCGACAGCCTCAGTCGAAAGCGGTATATACATGTGCTAGCAAAAGCTTGGCCAAACATAGGCGGGGTTGACCTAAGTGAAGGAGATAAGCAAGATTGAAGAGATGAGGGGAAATTTGGATCGATCGGGGCAAAACACATGGGTGCACATGACCAATACACCAAAAACGCTACATGTTCTTCATCAGTGACATCTATCGAGGGATCATCAACGAAATGCTTCTCAATGAAATGCCCGTAGGCCTTCGATTCCCAATCGATTTTTGACTTCAACGAATTATCCGAAGGACACGCACCCTGAAAATATCTTTCCCCTATAGGTTTCAACCCAGATGATGGCTCGCAACATCGAGAAGAGTAGGTGAGAGGGGGCCACAAGGTAATTCCAATGCATGTATCTCTTGATTCCATAGGTGCACGGCAGCCAGGAACATAGCCATATCGAGGTAGGATAAATCACATTGAGATAAATGTAGAAAATCATAAACCCCCACATTCTTCCAATGGTCCCCGAATTTAGCCTTGACCCTATCAAACCATCGAGTGAACAAAGATTTTTTGGAGGGAGGACCTGTCCTATACACCTTGGAAACAAAATTCAAAAAATCGATCCTAACTTCGGGCTGATGAACTAGAGCAGGGCTGCTTGAGAGGGTGAGGGGAGAAGCGGTTCCACTATCAGAAAGAATGGGGCCCCCAAAACCAAAACCAACCCCACCAACAGTGTAAGGAACTAATACCTGAGTTTCAGCAATCCTTTTAGAGGCCTCTTCCATTAAAGGCAAGGGAGCAAACTGCTGGTTGTTAATTTCCAGCAAAGTAGAAGTAGATGAGGTAAGAGGAGGAGCCGAGAAATCAGATGACTTAGATGAAGAAGCCATTATAGTAAGATTAGAGAAATAATAAAGAAGGTGACAGGTAAGGTAACAGAAACGAAGGCAGGAGCTTAGGGAAGAAGACAAGTTTTCAGTAGAGGATAAAAGTTCGCGTAAAGCCAGAGTAAAGATAGGTTGAGAGGTTAAAAGGAAATCGTATAGGGAGATGGAACGACGGAGGTGAAAGGTAATAAATGCAGCGTACTGTAAAAGCAACAGACTGATATGATAGCGACGTAAAACGGAAAGGGAAACCTAAAACCCTTTTAACCCTAGAACCCCAGAAACCCTAAACCCTAAAGTTCTATGGGCCTCCGAACATTAAAGCGGGAATATTGAAAGAATATAAACTGAAATTATTCATATTCTTTCAAGGGGGCATTTGTTAGTAGCAAATCGAGAAACACAATCGGAATCGAAGGGAAAAGAAATATGACTCGATAAGATAAACAAATATTCATTCGATGTCCAAATTGAAACACGTAGCATATAACATCGAGAAGCACAATCGAGAAATGAACGGCTGTTGCCAAATAAAGACTAAGTCATAGTGTGGAATCGAGAAGTCTGATCGAGAAATGAATCGAAAGGGAACTTTCCTGATGTCCGATTATAAAGAACGTGACACATAAAATCGAAAGGTAAAATTGGAAGAGTAGGCGTAATAGTCGAAAAGCTTAACATGGAGTTAAGGTTAAAATAAATCGATACCAGGTATGCAAAGTTCTCGATTAAATCAAAGGGAAGGCTCGTTTTCGTAGATATCATAACCTTGGCTAAACCTTGAAAGAAAGTAGTCAAAACGCACGTACTGAAAGCAGTTTCTAAGTGATGGAAAAGTTGAAGATCGTGAGAACATGGGAAAACTGTAAAAAGAAACTGTCATACGCACGAAGAACGTGGTAGCAGTGCGTTAACTGCTCTCGGAAGGCTTGAAGGATGCCCTATAAATAGAGCAAAGGAGGAAGGAACAAGGGAGCAGAAATTGGCAGAGAACAGAATCAGTAGTGAAAAGTCTACCGGAGAAACGACGAACACCATGAAGCTTCTGGCAATCTGGATTTCCCTGCTCACGGAGTACATTTATCGCTTTCTTTATTTTCCTTGGTAATTTACTTTCGAGCCATTCCAATTCAGCAATTTCATATTCTTGTATATTTCATTCAATGTCATTTCGATTTCCGCACATTTCGATTTCCTGTTATTTACTTTCTGTGCAATTTTAATGGGTTTTAGTAATTTACATTTCTCGCACATTTCGATTTCCGCACATTTCGATTTCCTGTTATTTACTTTCTGTGCAATTTTAATGGGTTTTAGCAATTTACATTTTCCGCACATTTCGATTTCCTGTTATTTACTTTCTGTGCAATTTTAATGGGTTTTAGCAATTTACATTTCCCGCACATTTCGATTTCCTGTCCTTTATTTATCTCGCAAACTTAATTTCTTGCAAATTCGGGGTTTTCGCACTTTCTTGCAATTTAATATTCTCTTTGCTCGATTCGATACTTTACTGCTTTGTTGAAATCGAGCATTTTAAACATAAAATACTAAAAATAGGATTTCTTGACATTTTCGATATCCTGTAGTTTTCAATTCTCATACGCGTTTTCGATTGAAAAACAAATTGCTAGCCTCAGTAAAAAGAACTTACGTGGTAGAATTTTGATTAGGACCAAAACACCCTTAGGATCGAAATCGATCGAAAATTCCACCGTAAACAATATTCTAAGTATTTGCTCATACTTTAAGAATTTGCTCATTTATTTTTTTATTTTATTTTTTTATATGTTTTATATATCATTCTTATTATTATATAATATTTTTTCAAATAATATATATGTTGATTAGAATTGTTATTATATTATAAATTTATTTTAAATTTAATATATTATTATATTATTAAAATATATTATTTTATTAAACCCGTTGAACTCCAAGATTTAATTTTCAATTTAATCCGATTGAATCTTGAATCATTAAACCTTAAACCTCTTCTTTCACTTTGATAATCGATTTTAAGAACCACGATTTTTATAAATAAAATTATCATTCTTAAAAAGTAAGTGCTGGCAATTGTAATTTAATTTAAAGCACAATAAATTATATATATATATATATATATATATATATATATATATATATATATATATATCACCAAACATATTTATTAATTCTTTAATTATATATTTTTTATTTTTTTACGTAATGCTTATTCATCTTCATCTTTTCATAAAACCTTTACGTGGATGTATGGGAAACGTTAATTTTTAGTGTAAACTAATTGAAAAAGTTATAGTTCTATATAAATATAATTACAAAATTATTTGTATATTTCACCACTTAAACACCATCTTATGAATATAACTTTTTTATGAAAATAACTTGTGGTATTATATATATATATAGAGAGATAAATAAATAGATAATTTATTATTCAATAAAATTATTAAAATGCCTTTTCTACGTATAGATATAGATATTTAGGATAATTAAGTTGAAAAATATTTTAAAAATATTTTTAATGTTTTAAATTATGTGGATGTATATTTATAAATGATATGGAAGAAGACAAAAAAAGACAATGTAAACATTAATCAATTAACATCCTTAGTCTGACATATGAAACTCGAGAATGCTCTTGAGCTGTTTCAGATAACATCTGCATAATATCTACACAGTGAAATGAGTAACACCAAATATAGAAATTAAAACATACAAAAATATTAATTGATGCACATTTAGAGAGATAGAAAGGAGAATCAACGCTGTAGCCAGCCATAATATATTCTTGTGAACTTACGGGAAAAGTGGGGAACCCATAGATTGATTAATGGTTGGTAGTCAGTCATTGGTAAGTGATGAATTATTATTAATATTTTTATATATAAAGTAGATTTCCCAGATATTTTTCCTTTATCTCTTTCATTGCTGTTTTTCAAAACGAACTATTTTTCTTTCTAAATACATTTTGTTTTCAAAAATATTTTTCATTTAAACTTATTCCTAAAATATTTATTAAAATAGACTAAATCTATTTTCACATCCTAAACAAAATCTTAGATTTTGAAAATCTATTTTTTAGTTAAAAAGGAAGAAAATTACCGAATTCGATTTTTTAGAATTGAATTTTCAACTGAAAAAAAAGTTGGCGAAGTAATTTTGGCAGTGACTATGGAAATTTTATTTTATTTTTAACCTGTGAAAAATTCTCTATTTAGAGAAAGTGAATGTTTAATGATAATAGAAGGTTTTAGTTCGAATTAAACATATCAATCAGGTTGTGTGAGAAGGGTACTTGGTGGGTCTTCCTAATCCATTGAAGATAAATTATTTAAATGGTGAACTCTGCTCTTATCAAAACCACCCTTATTACACTGATTAAGATATTCTTCAGCTGAACACAGGAAGCTGCAAAGTTTTCTCCTTTGGAGCAGAGACAATCGGGTGAGAGAATGGACGCCTCAGAGCAGAACAAATCAAAGGTGGTGGTGATTGATTCTTTGCAGTCATGGGATTTCCATGTCACCCAGGCCACTAATCAGAATTGTCCTGTAAGATACTCATTTTATGCTGAAGTTTGGATCTTTTAATTTTATTTTCACCCTGGTCTGAAACGAGTATGCAAAAGGGGCATTTAGGCTTCATGTTTTTACAAATCCACTTTGGTTTTTGAATTTTTTTGTTTTCTGTTAGTTTTAATTTGGGTTGCTGGGTTTCCTTTTTGCTCTTCCTTGTGGATAGAAAACTAGGAATATAATCTATTTACTTATGGCTTTATGTATTTTGTGGGATGGATCGACATAGGTTGTTGTTCACTTCACTGCTTCATGGTGCATACCGTCGGTGGCTATGGCTCCTGTTTTTGATGAACTGGCTTCAAGCTATCAGGATCTTCTGTTTCTCACTGTTGATGTTGATGAAGTCAAGGTAACTCTCCCCCCTTTTGACTGGATGCTTGTGGTCCTTGCATCCCTTGTTAAATGTTTCTAGGTACACATATTTGACCACATCATCAGTGATTTTTTTGAGAAATTATATTCGTTCAAAAACATATACACCAATTCATACCAATAAGACTGATAGGAAGAGAAGGGAGAACAACCTGGAATAAGATGAGTGGTTATAAAAATTAAAAGAAGGGTTGAATAAGTTGTTAGTATACTTTTCGTTGTATATATATGTATATATATTATACCACTTTCTATTTTTTGTATGTCTCCTTTCTGCCTGTGAATGTGAGAGATGAGGCATTTAGTCTCTTTTGAGGTTGATATTCTGAATTTTCTGATTTCAGTATGAATTGTTGTGTTTATGAGCATTCCTCTCCAGCCACACTCACTAAAGAAATGCAAGAATTGCATGGCAACCACCACATCCAAGCCTTTCTGCATTGTGTTGGGTCAGCTTCATAGATCAAAGGATGCTATAATATAGGGATTTCATTTTTTCCACGTTATACTTTTAAATGGATAATCATTGGTTGGAATAGGATAGTAAATGGAGGAACGAGTTCAATGTTAGTAGAACTTATGAACTGCCTTGTGATTCTTGTCAAATGTTTATTGAAAGGGGCTGCTTTTCAAGTAAAAATGGAGTCAAAGAATCCCGTTTAAGATGATAGCTGCCATCAAGAAAATCGTACCATCATCTTAATGTACACAATTAATTGTACAAAATAATCTTTTACGGGATTGTTTAACCCCATTTTTAGTTGGGCAAGTTCACAACAACTTATTGAATACTGTAATATACGTAGTATGCATCCTAAAAAGGTTTATCTAGTGCTAAGTGGATCGGTAATTTGGTTCAACTATTGCTTTTGTTATTGAGCAATGTATGTTTTTAGCTTCGAGTGCATAATATCAAAATGTAGAATGCTACCTACCTTCCACATTCTATTTGTTCGTGTAATCCTTAAGATAGTAGAGAAACCTGCACCCCTTGATTACTGACATGGATTTGAATCACAGTTTCAGTCATGTTCATAATAGACTGACTAGATATCATAGTGTACTTTTCGTGATATGATATTAGTGCTTGGAGCATTGGAGCAAAAAGTGAAGTCCTGTATGATTTTCTCTTATGATTTGTTATTGTTTGATGATGGCAATTAAATATATTGAATTTTTATGGGGGTCAGGAAGTGGCCACCAAAATGAATGTAACGGCAATGCCAACATTTTTGCTGCTGAAGAATGGTGCTGCTGTAGAGAAGGTGGTTGGTGCCAATCCAGAAGAGATAAAGAAGAGGGTAGATGGGCTTGCTGAGTCCACTCGTGTTTCACTTGCATAGTTAAGAATCTCTGTGATATTCTATATTCTACTATTGCAAGTTGCAAAATATGCACTTCTTGTCCTGCATTGCCCTATGGAATCCGACTCAAAGCGTTTTGTGATGTTGTATTTTGAATACCAGTTCAAGTGTAATTTATAAATTTCATTACCTCAGTGCTTTGGTTAATGGTTATATCGGCAGTTTATTTTTTTTTTTTTTTTTTTTGTATCAGCTAAAAATTTACGCTCTGTAGTTTTGGTTATGGTGGTTTTATGATGCTCTAACCTTGGATGTTGTGAAATATACATCATATTTTCAAGGTATTCTTTGCGTGAAATTGTGACCTAATCGTTGTGTGGGTAGGATTATCTTTTAAAATATTAGTTTTAATCACAATCTTTGTTTTAGATTATACAATATTTTTTTTTCTGTTTACATACATATATTATTTGTAATCTGTTTTAGTCAATGTAATCTAAAATTATTGACTAAAATGAGTTAAAATGTACGTGTAGATATACAGTGTATGTGTAGTCAAAGATTAAAAAGTATACGTGTGGGATTGAAACAAGTAGCTTCTATTTATGAGAGACTAAAAGAGCATGAACCAATTTCTTGGAAAATAACTCGCGAGTGACGTTGGAGTTTATGTTCTCCATCGAATAAATTATGTTTGAATGGTGATATGAATTTGATGTAAGCGTGGTTGGTCCTAATTATTTTATTGGTATTCAGCTCAAAATATATTATTAAAAAACTACAAACTTATTTCGTGTCATTGCTTAAATTGCATTACAATTACAACATTAAACTAATTTATAGCTGAAACTTTCCTCTTTCTCTTTCATTGTTCCAACACATGTAAATATTGGTTTTGAAAACACATAGGAAAATGTATATTTTGAGGCAAATATATATATAAAATAATTTTATCAAATAAAAGAGAATGTGAGTTTGTGGTGAGAGGTGATGGTTGGATGGGTGTTGATGTCCTAATGTGAGTCTCTCATGTCAAACACCACCTTCTTCCACATATTTTTTTGTTTTTTCTCTCTCTACAAAAAAATCATATATCACATCCTTTGTTCCTGACTCAGGCACACCCTTTTGGTAGGAGATGAGCAATAGTGATTGGATGTTGGATTATGATTATCTAGACACCATTTCCCTCCCCAATTTGTCTTGGTCTTCTTCCTCTCCTCCTCCCGCCCTCAGGTTACTACATACTTCAACCTATTATATGCTTCCTTTTCCATGAACTATGCACTTGCTTTGTAAGCTACATTACAGTTATACCAATCTTTTCGGAAGGAATAACCTTTTACAAATCCTCAAAAAACAACATAACCTTGTACTTATGTTTTCTACTTATTTCTTCTTTGTCTCTGTTTTAGGATGATACATTTGCTTCTCACATTTCTCATTTTGCTCACAAGTGCATTCAAATTTTCCAAGAAATGTTCTATTAAAATGTTCATACAATGGATAATGTGGATGGTAAATAACATATTATTTTACTTTCTTCTTTGTGAATTTTTTGCAGTGTGGAGGTAGATGACTCGTTGGGAATTTCGGATGGTTTCATGGAAAACGGATCAAGGAAACGGTACGCCCTTTTATCATAATGACAAGAGTTTTTTATACTTTTATTGAAATCATTATTTTACCTTAGCTCTAATTTCATCTTATCATTTGAAGAAGTTGTTCGCTTCCATAAGCTTCTGTTACTGTTAGTTGCTTTTATTTTCATATTACGTCATATTCTTGTTTGAGGGATCATTTGTTTCTTCTATCATCTAATTAGTTTAAATTTTAAAATCCTATTACAGTTTGAGGTCACCTGGTTCCAAAGCATGTAAAGAGAAAATGCGAAGGGATAGACTCAATGACAGGCATCTCTACACTACTAGACTTTTCATTCATCCTCATTTTTTTTTCTCTGTTTTTTTAGCTAATCTATATCTCTGATGTGACGTATTCTGAACATTGTTTAAAGGTTTTTGGAACTGGGGTCTATCCTGTACCCTGAAAGGCCTCTCAAAATGGACAAGGCTGTTATATTAAGTGATGCAGCTCGAATGGTGCCTCAGTTACGAGAGGAAGCTCAGAAGCTACGAGAATCCATTGAGAATCTACAAGAGAAAATCAATGAATTGAAGGTGTGTAAATGTAACTGCATAACATGGTACTTCATACTTGGGATGCACATTTAGTGGATAAATGCTAACAACACACTAATCACAATTTTATATCACATTCTTTTGAACACACTAATCACAATTTTATAGACTACACTTTCTGTCTAGTAAGTTTCACTTGTAATTGTATATTTTAAAATCAAATTTAATCAATAGTAATAGAGTGTATTGCTGTATAACATGATGGTTAACCTTGCCTATGACTAGATACTTTTGCTGTTTGTGTAGGCTGAGAAGAATGAGCTTCGGGAGGAGAAGCAGCGACTAAAAACAGAGAAAGATAACCTTGAGCAGAAGATTGAGGCCATGAGTTCACAACCTAGCTTTCTGCCTGCGTTTCCTGCACCAGGACAAGTTATTGGAAGCAAGTTGGTGCCCTTCATGGGTTATCCAGGAGTTGCCATGTGGCAGTTTTTACCACCTGCTGCTGTTGACACCTCACAGGACCATGTACTTAGACCCCCAGTTGCATAACTTGCCAAAGCCTGTGTGTTTTTGGAGAACCGGAATTTTTTTCACATTTGTGCTATCCTTTTTGCTTTTGTGAAATGTAGAATAAAACGTGTTATTGATTGTAGAGGTAACATTTTGATAACTACTAAACTGAGTTATATTCAGCCAAATCAAGTTAGCTTTTGGATAATCCTGGTAACAAATGCTGTTGAATAGCAAATACTTTTCTGGGATTCTTTCATTTTGGATCTTGGATAGTTGCTGACTTATTCAATTTCTTATTCTCTTTGGAAAAGATTTCGCCCATTTATTTTGGTCAGAAAGATGCAACAAACTAGGCATCTTTCTATTCACATGTTTTTTAAAATGTTTTCATATCTTCTTTCGCGTGACATAAATAAAAAAGTCATAAAGTTCAAGAATGTCCTCAATTCTAACATCAGATTTATATATTTGGTCATACAAAATAAAGATTTGGATCCTCTCTAGTTACTTTGTCAAGTAGCACATTTGTCTTTCTCACTCTTGAAGTAGAAGGTCCAAGGTTATTCTCGATTCATAACTACCTATGGTATTGATGACAGGATAGGGTACACCAACTGGTCTAACAAAACTGTTTTCAACAGGGTAGTTTGAACCCCATATATTCCCCTGATTCATAGTCTGTCCAAACCTTTATGGCTCCGAAGCTAGTCATTAGAACATTGCTCACAAACATCACTATACTAACCGAGAAAACTATTATAGAGGCTCTTCCATACTTCCGAATTGCTCTCTGTACCACTAATAGCCCCAGAAGTGATGCAACAAAACACATTATGGCCAAGATTAGGGCTGCTTCTACATGTTCCATTCCCAACAACAAATATTGCAATGCTGACATGGTAGCAGAAAAGAGCACCATGAAAGAACATGTTGCTGCTGTTACCTACTCACACAAAAATTGCTTGGTAAATACTAGTTACTAGTTTACTGGCCAGAGTAAACGACATTTAACAAAGCTTATGAACTTACCTCAGGAGTTATTCCAACCTGAAGAAGAAGTGGACTAATCAGCATTCCACCTCCAATTCCAAAGACACCACCCAATATCCCTGCTAGTAGCGCCATTGATGGAAAAACAAGTATATTTGATGGTCTATTTTTGGTGAGTCCTGGCACCTTCATATCTGTTATCTGTAAGCACAATGAAGATGAAAGAGTGTGTAAGTAAGTGGAGATTAGTGAAGAAAAAACTACATTTTCAATCTATGGTGCTAAAGAACCTCTTGAATAAGAGTTCGGTCTCTAAGGCTTTCTTTACTAAATACAATCCAGGCAGTGAAAATCACAGCAAGAGGTATTTGAACCGATGACAGAATCCAGTATTCCACACCACACGGCTCCATTTGAATGATTCCCTGCATAGTTTGGAACAACTGATTCAAAGGATCGTCCTTCATATGTATGCTAAACGAAAATACTACTACAAATTAATTAAAGTACATACTATAGAAGTTTTCTTTTACTGTAATCCAATCATAATTGTCATGTGATTGACAATTATGAATTTTTATAATAATTACTTTTAATTATATCTAGCGCGGTTAATTTATTCACAATGTAATTACTGTATCAAAATTAAACTCGACTTAAGAATTTACATAGGTGTGAGGATATGTAGGTATCAAAAGTAGAAGAAATGAAATCACTCTAAGAGAATAAAGCACAAACTATGAAAGTAAATGAAAAAGAAAAAAAGAAGTTTGAAATTTAATTTGAAAAATTATCAGTATTGGTCGTCTTATTATCTGATGAGTAAAACAACAGTCTACTACTACCTATTACCCCGTTAGTATGCGTCTCGATTCTTCCATAATGAAAGGGACATTGAAACTAAAAAGAAAAAAGAAAAAATAAAAAACAGATAAGACCACACTTTGATTTGATATAGGTGATCATGGGACTCTTGTCTACTTAGGAAAATTCCTCAACATATACCTTAATTCAAAAGATGCTTAATAAAATAAGTGAGACTTAAAAAAAGAATTTCATATCATGTTAGATTCCATCTTAGATTCAGTTGATGATAAGAAATCTAATATATGTATAAAACACATAATTGAGAAAGAAAATGTGACTTTCCCATGTAATTGTTTGATTCTAAATTAAAATCTAATATGACATGAGAATTTTCTTAGGATAAATTTGTTACAATAATCATCTTCTTAATTCAAATAGAAGTTGGCCCTTTACTCATCGTTGGGTTTGTTGTGCCCTTCGCTGACCATCGTGTTTAATTAACTACACCTTTATACTAATTCCTACTCCATATTAGTATAGTTTTAGTTCATATACAATTGTTAAATATATAAAAATATCAATCCTTTTTTTTTTTTTCATCAGTAACAAAATATTTTTATTTTACTCTTGTACACTGTAGAATCAGTGAAGAAAAAAGAAAGACACTTTACCTGTCCATATCTGTTGCCGCGAAGAAGATAGACAGAGAAAAAAGAGAACCAGATCAAAAGCAAAACCACCAATTTCAACCAAGGGATCCTCACTTTGCTATTTCCTTGAGGAGCCAGAAGAGGCACAGGCACTTCAACACTTTTTGGCTCATTATTTTCTTTGTACACATGTGCTACTCCTAACACTTTCCTTTCTTCAGTAGTCTCGTTTTCTAGCAGCCCCTTCTCAAGTTCCTCAACTCCATTTTTCCTTATCTCATCTGATTCAGCCTTCCAAAACATCAACCCACTTCTGCAAGTTTTTGAGGTGGACCATGCAAGAAAGATAGCAAACAGTACTGTAATCAACCACTCTGGGAATACAAGGTTACAAATAACTCCAACACTCACTCCCAACAGCATGCATGGTTCAGATGAAAGAGCTATGTCATAGTCAATCAATGACTTGCCACCAAATTTTGGACTAGTGATGCACATATTGCACATAACGTTCGCAATTGACCCTCCAGTGACCATGAAAGCTGAGAGACTTGAAGCAGTTTTCAGGTCTAAACCAGCCACAATAGATAATATGGGTATAAAAAGTCCACCACCACCTATTCCACCAGCACTAGATATAGCAGAGGCTATGAAGCATAGAACTCCAGCCAGTACCAAAGGTCCTGAAACAAGTATCTGGGATTGTGCTTCACCTCCCCACAGATAAATTTTGTCCAGGAATAGGTCAATATTGATGATATCTGAAAAGGGTTGTGATTGTTTTGCATTTGAAGGATTGAAAGCAATGAAGGTGAGAACTAGAAATATAAAAATTCGAGTACTCATTTGCTTTTAAGAGTTTGTTTCAGCAATGGTGAGGACTGAGGGTATATGCGTGACTAGCTGAATGACATGATGACTTTATATAGAAACATGCATGAACTGTTAACAATGCTTCTTGTTGGTAACAAAATGCATAGCATTTCTTTTTTGTATACTATACCTATCACATATCATCATCTTTACCTATTTGCATATTTGAGAGAAAAATAGACAATTAAACGTGATTTATTGTTGAAATAATAGCAAGAAAGTAATATAATAACATGGTTGGTAACATCAGTACAATAGTGAAATACACTAAAAGTAACGTAAGAAAAGTAAGAAGCAAACAATTAACTTTGGTCGTCTACTAGGAACAGTACAACAATGTGTTACGCGAAACAAACAAGTAACATAAAGCTCTCATTTTTTATGTAAAAGATAAGCACTTTATAGTGAGTCATACATGTAAATATATAATAAACTAATACACCTTTTAGTAGTATAAGTTACAATTATTTTACTACTCTTACCAGCACCACTTTCTGTTGTCGTGCTTACAAGATTAGGACATATATAGTATAAGTTTTTCTGATGAAGATTATATAATAAACCAAAATATATTTATAATATGTTTGAAGAAGCATGAAGTTGTTTTCGTGGATCGAATCCTTAAACCAGTGGGCGCATCAAAAGACACTTACGGGAAGATGTCTCCAAGGCTGGATTGAATTTAAAATCTTATACAAAAGAATTCAAACTCTTAACATTATATGAACCTAGTCTGCCATACCTATTAATGAATAATAATTTGTCTATATATAAGAATAGTTTTAATACATTTTTTAAAAAAAATAACGTGGTTGAAAATATAGAGTCGGTTTTTATGTGTTTTTTTTTAAATTAGTAATTTTTGGAGTTATTTTAAGAACAAACTTTTATCTACTTTTAATGAGAACCGTGATTTACCCTTTACAGAAGCACTGTTTATCTCACAATACGAGTCACAACTTATGAATAAGGTTGCACATGGAAATGGAACCTCTGTTTCTCGATACAGACATGAGTCAGAGGACAAATGTAGAATGTTAACGTGGCACACAGAGAAAACTTGCTGAACTGTGTCGGGAATTTGGATGAAAATACGTATTAGTTTTATGTCTTTCTCAGAAGAAGTATATATTTCTGAATCAGGTTCAATTGTTTGGCTTAATTTGGTAAATCTATGATCCCATTGTTCTTCCTAATAACTCTTGTTTCTTGCTCGTGACTCTCGGTCTGATATATTCTCACGCATCTGCACTGGGCCACACCGAATATAGAAGAAGCAGAATAGTTATTTTTATAGTGTGTTTACGTACATCAGAAGGAGAAATAGTAGCTGTTTGTCATGGAGAATTTAAAATTTAAAACATAGAAACACAACTTACGCTATTTATAATTATTAAAAAAATCGAAAAATTAGTCAAAATTCAATAAGATTTACATTATTTGTTAATTTCAGATTATTTGAAAAAGTTGAATTAAATGAATGAAAAAAAAAATTACAATTGATTTTCTTAAAATAAAATTATAATCAATGGACTCTTAATCCCATCTACCATGTTAGTCACAAAAGTAAACTGGGGGAAGAAGCTCACGTGAGTACTTTTAGCAAAATCCTCACAAAACTTATCTTTAAAAAACAAATTAATATTATATAATTTTAAATAAATCACATATTAAGTTATGGACTATATTTTAAATAAAATTCCTTTAAAAATGGTTACTTTATGATAAAAGTGTGTGTTATCTATTTCTGAATGGCTTATAATAGATACGCTAGATTCAAAGTTTTCTCAGGTGGAAAGAATAAAGAAAGACGCGGATAAGATTTGAGGTGTTAGCGTCTTTGTTAATCTACTTAATTTAATTAATTGGTTTTAAGTGTAACTAGCAAGTTATATAACCAATAATAATAATAAAAAATATTATTTTGGTTAACTTGTGTATAAAATTTGTTGAACCAGATTTATAAAATATAACAAATAAAATTTATAAATTTAATTGGTTTTTTTAAATGTACAGGTTCTTTAGGCTTAAGGGGTTATAAATACTTTGTATTGCTTTTGAAGCTAAAAGGCCTGTGTGACAGTGGAGAACAGGATGACAACTAAAACTATATAATAACTTGACAAAGATGGAATGTTTGTTCATTTCCCACTAATGCTATTGCCCAAATACTACTACTTACTACTCCTTAATTAAAAAGAACCCAAAATAAACGTTAAATATATCATGTTGCAATTTTTTATTATTATTCAAAAAATTTAAATTTTTATTTTAAATTTTTATTACGAAGATACTTATTATTTATTTCTAAATATATTCGGATATGAAAATTTAAGTGTAAATTGGAAGTCTTATATTAAATAAAAGTGAAAAAATTAAATAATTTATAAATAAAAAAAACACATAACTTAATATCTTAAAGTTTTAAGTTAAAGATAATGCATATTCTTTTATATAATTTAGTTATTACTCATTTATAAAAATTCTCCTTAATAAAATTAAATATAAAGTAAAATATTTCACCTGACAAAAATTTCAAAAAACTATATAAGTATATAACACTTTAAAGAAAAATTTATGTTCTTCGATACGAACAGTAAGAAACTAAAAACAATAATTTCAAAATTTATAAAATAAAAGTATTTAAAAAATTAAAATTAAAAATCATTCATTTATGAAAAAAAAGTTATTATGTTAAATTCAGAAAAATAAAAAAATCTACATTAAAATTAAAATACATTTACTTTATACAGAATGTAATATATTTATATTATCTAAATAAGTGGATTTAAACTTTGGTAAAAGACAAATGCTGGTAACTAAAGAATTCGTCAAAATTAGGTTCAACAATCTTTGGACACGTGCTGGTAGAAATTCGTTACCCAACTTTCTAGATATTTAAAGTTTGTAAAAATAACTCTTTTCATAACTTTTATTCGATATTGATTATTGTTTCTTTAATATAACATTATATATAATATTTATTAATATTTATATTTTAAGTATATTTATTATAAAAATATTTCTATTAAAAATAATAAAGACCATAAATTTAGAAAAATGATATATTAGTCATTAAAATATGTTTTTAATAAGTAATACTATAATAAATCAAGTTGATTACGAAATCACTTGAAAAACTAACAGAATAGATAATGCACAAAATAGTTTAATTTGAAAGATCAAATTGATGAATTTTTTAATCTAGTATAACAAATGATGAATACAAAAACATATTTGTAAGAGCTAAATCACTGAACTAGTGGTTTTTTTTATAAAGATGAACTTAATCGAATTCTTGACCATAACACTCAATATTTCTGTTATATGAAAGCAATATCGATTAAAGATAAGGATAAGTATTAGGAGACTGCTACAGAATCGTAATTAATTACTTCTTTTTCACATTTGTATATAGATATGCTCCTCTACCCTACACCTTAGAACAAGGACAACAATAATCTAAAATATTTATTATAATCTTAAGTAAGTTTATCATCATGTGTATTTACAAGCTTATAATTTTAGAAAATTTGAATCACGTTTTATTTTTTAAATATTTTGTTTAAATAAAATTATTCAAATCTATTAAATTTTACTTTTTTTGCTGTTTAGATAGATTAGATTATTTTAATTACTACTAAATATATTAAAAAATATTTAATAGTTTAAAGATATTATTGGTTAAGATTATGTTTGTCTAAACTTAACAAAATTTTTCAACTATAGTATATATTTTGCATGACATCGATTAAAAGTTATTTTTTGCAATGTATTTTTACCCAAATTTCGACCATTAAAAAGACTTGAAAATTCCTTCAATTAATATGGACTAAAAGTAAAGATTAATAAAAATTTAACAATAAAAATATGTTAAGTTAAATTTGTAAACCTAACCTAATGAACCTAACCATATTATATAATATATGGTGGACAAAATGATCAGTGCGAGGCGATGGAACATATATTATCCAATGTAGTCAATTTTCCATACATTTTCACATTGCTCGGTGACTCGATCCTTTTTGTCATTATTTGCCAAATTTCTTGTACTTTTAGATTGTCGTTATGTAATCACGATTATAGTTTTGATCTCAATAATAAAATAAGTAACAATATATCACACGCTGCCAAAACTTGGAAATCCTGAACCACCTTACTTTTTAAATATCAACGTCTGTTAATTTAAACAAGTAAAAACTTATATTTATCCTTTATAAAGTTTGAGTTCAAATTTTATGAATAAAAAAATAGTTGCTAGAAGAAAATTATATTTTTAAACGCACTTGAATTAAGGCAACTATGGATTAAAAAAACTTAATATTAATATATTCCAAAATAAAACTGTAACAGGACCAAGAATCTGATAAGATACTATAGATCATTCATGTTGCTAATTAACTTTTTATTTAATGTTATAGATGCCTTCAATTTATTAAAAAAGGTAAAAAAAAAAAATACTATTTCCTTTATATAGTTGAGTTTATCCGTTATCTAACATTCATATATTACTCTTTAAAATATGGTCTTCCAATTGCATCCCGTGTATGTATAATCAATAATAGTTTAAATAGTTTAGTGTAACATGTAAATTGTAAGAACTTTAATTTTATAAAACTTGAATACATAGGTTTTCCCTCATAATTATCATGATTTACTTGAACTGTGGAGTTTGACTACTTTTTATATTAAAAAATTTCATATGTGGATGGATATATAGAATCTGATTTAAATGGATTATATGATTTTTGAGTAAAGAGAGAAACTAAATAATTAAGTTTGTTTCATTTTTAATTTTTAGTTTTTTTAAAATTAAAATTTGTAATTAGTTTTTAAAAAATTTAAAATAAAATTAATCATTTTTTAACTTTTTTGTTTTTACTAATAGTATTTACATTTTATCAAAATTATTTTACGAATTTTTATGTCACTCTTCTTGTTAATTTTGGTAAAATTATTTAAAGATCATTTAT